TGAGACGGAGTCTCATTTTGTCACCCAGGCTGGAGTGCAATGGCTCAATCCCATTGCAGCCTCTGCCTCCTGGGTTCAAGTGATTCTCCCACCTCAGCCTCCTGAGTAGCTGGGATTACAGGCGCCCGCCGTAACGTCTAGCTAATTTTTGCATTTTTAGTAGAGAAGGGGTTTCACTATGTTGGCCAGGCTGGTCTCAAACTCCTGACCTCAAGTGATTTGCCCACCTCGGCCTCCCAAAGTGCTGGGATTATAGGCGTGAGCCACCATAACTGACCTACTTAACTCTTTTATCTCCTTGCACAGTTTTTCTCTGTGGCCCAGTCACAACTTAACATCTTAGTAGACATATACCTGAGTTTTTTTGTTTGTTTTTTCTTTGAGACAGAGTCTCACTCTGTCACCCAGGTTGGAGTGCAATAGAGCAATCTCAGCTCACTGCAACCTCCGCCTCCCGGGTTCAAGCAATTCTCCTGCCTCAGCCTCCTGAGTAGCTGAGACTAAAGGTACATACCACCATGTCTGGCTAATTTTTTGTATTTTAGTAGAGACGAGTTTCACTGTGTTGCCCAGGCTGGTCTTGAACTCCTGAGCTCAGGCAACTCACCCACCTTGGCCTTCCAAAGTGCTAGGATTACAGGGGTTAGCCACCCTGACCGGCCTCTGAGTACTTTTTTTTTTGAGATGGAGTCTCGCTCTTTCGCCTAGGCTGGAATGTGGTGGCCCATTCTCAGCTCTGCCTCCTCTGCCTCCCCAGTTCAAGTGATTCTCACTGCAACCTCTGCCTTCCGGGCCTGGGTTCAAGTGATTCTCCTGCCTCAGCCTCCTGAGTAACTGGGACTACAGGTGTGCACCACCACGCCCAGCTAATTTTTTTCTATTTTTAGTAGAGACTGCCTTGTTGCCCAGGCTGGTCTCGAACTCCTGAGCTGACGCAATCTGCCCACCTTGGCCTCCCAAAGTGCTAGGATTACAGGCGTGAGCCACCGTGCCTGGCTCCTCAGTATTCTTTTTTTTTTTTTTTACTGTCTCCAAGAACATCAGCCCCAGTAGAGCCACTGAGTGTCCTCGTTGGGGCTGAGCACACACAGATGCTCAGTAAATGATGAATAAGTGGGTAAGGACAGCCAAGAGCTTGCAGACCTGTGTTGAAGGTGTGTCCCTGCAGAGAGCTTCTCTCCGCTTGGCATTGGAGAGGCCTGTCACGGGCAAGGAGGTAGCTGTGATGACCTCAGACCTGAGAACTCCTGTGACGGTAGGGGAGATTGCTGTGAATAATGTAACCAAGAGCCAGACAGAGAATGGAAATTCTGGTAGGTTCTAAGAGGGAGGCCAACAAGGGGCTGAACTAGAGGCTGACATAGGGTGAGAGGGGGAATGTCTATTTTATTTTTTTTTAAGACAGGGTCTCACTCTGTTGCTCAGGCTGGAGTGCAGTGGCATGATCACGGCTCACTGCAGCCTCAACTTCCCTGGCTCAAGCGATCCTCCCACCTCAGCCTCCCAAGTAGCTGGGACTATAGGTGCTCGCCACCACACCTGGCTAATTTTTGTATTTTTGGTAGAGACAGGTTCTCACCATGTTGCCCAGGCTGGTCTTGAACTCCTGGGTTCAAGTGATCCCCTGCCTTGATCTCTCAAACTGCTTGAATTATAGGTGTCAGCCACCACACCCAGCCTATTTTATTTTGAGATGGAGTCTCGCTCTGTCGCCAGGCTGGAGTACGGTGGCGTGATCTCAGCTCACTGCAACTTCCACCTCCTGGGTTCAAGTGATTCTCCTGCCTGAGCCTCCCGAGCAGCTGGGACTACAGGCACGCACCACCATGCCCAGCT